ACTTCTGCATGAGTCGACGCAAACAAAAATTATTTTTCTCCCATTATGAGTCGACTAGAAGGGTTGATGCAAGCACTCTCGAGTGTGATCCATTCACCTTGAACAATCTATGAGTCGACCTACTCATGGTGTAAGTCGACACAAGTAGTTGAAATAGCCACAAATGATTTCTTTCGAGAAATTTCAATCTAACTATTTCCAATTTTAAATTTTCCAAAGAAATAACCTAGATCAAGAGCAAGCAATAAATGTTTTGACATCATTAAAACAAATATAGAAGGACCTTTATCTCACACATTAGAGTTATGTAGAAGGAGCAACAAAAATCGTTGTTCTGGTGTGCCTCGTCGAGCGAAGCCTGGGCGAAGAGCCTGGGCGTCGGAGTCTCTAGGTGACGGAGGGGCGATAAGACTGGATCATTTTTCCAGTAGCCGCTAACTTGGGCTTGCCAGCAACTCGCCGGGAAAGAAATAGGGATGTCGTTGGGTAAAGCATCCCTTTGCCGAGCGAGGGAAGATATTTGGGACTAGTTGCATAACGGGAATGATTTGTCGAACATCGACTAGATAACCAATCTCTGTGGACACGATACAATATAACCTAAATATCACCCGATAAAATAATACTTTACTTTTTTGCTTGCCACTATACCGCTGCAACAATAAGCTAGAAGGAATCACGCTAGAAGAATTTTGTTTTGGTGTCAAGCCTAGCTTGATTCATCTGAAAGTATTTGAATTTATAGCATATTGACATGTGCCCGATCAATTGAGAAGAAAACTTGATGATAAATCGAGTCAAATGACCCTAATAAGATATCATTTGAGTGGTTAATACAAGTTGTTCGACTCAGTCAACAAACAAGTATTGATCAGCTGGGACATGATCATAGATGAGCTTAAGGAATGGGATTAGACTGAAAATGTAAAAAAGGATTAAGTGAGAATCTTAAGTGAATATCCAGCGAGTGAAATCGAAAGAGAAGTTCGACAAGAAGAAGTCAAAGGTCAAGCAGGCAGTAGCAAACCTCAAAGAACAAGACACGTTCCTACAAGGTAGTAGGAATGTGTAATTACATTAGATGACGCAATCAATAATAAAGGTGAGCTGGTACATTATGCTTTCTATGGAGATGTTAAACCATTCAATACAATTGAGACATTGAAGGATTCAAAGCGGATGAGAGCTATGAATTAGGAACTGAAGTTTATCGAAGTCAACAACACTTAGTCACTTATCGAATTGCCTCAAGGCAAAAAGGTAAGGTATACAAGGTGAATTTGAATCCCAAAGGAGAGGTACCTCAACACAAAGAAAGACTTACAGCGAAAGGATTTCTTCAAAAAGAAGGAATTGACTTCGAAGAAGTTTTTGCACTTTTTCCTAGCATCAAAACAATCAGGTTGGTTGCTGGTCTAGCAAACATGAACAACTAGCATGTGTCACATGGATGTGAAATATACATTTCTAAATGGTCCATTAGATAAAGAAGTTTATGTTACACAACCAATTGAATTTGTCAAACAAGGCCAAGAAAGCAAAGTATACAGGTTGCATAAAGTCCTGTTCAGACTTGAACAAGCTCCAAGAGCTTAGAATAAGAAGATTGACTATTTACTATGGGAGAAGGAATTTGTGCACAACTAAGCATGGAGTATATTTAAGAAGAAGCAAGAGTGAATTCCTTATACTGTGTCTCTATGTTGATGACATATTAATCACAAGTAGTTGCAAGAAAGAGATCGAATATTTCAAAGGTGATCTTAGCAAGGATTTCAAAATGTTTAATATGAACAATATTTCATACTTCCTGGGTATCAAATTATACAAGAGTAGTAGAGGGTTGATGGTGCATCAAAGAAGATATGCAAGTGATATACTCAAAATATTTGAGATGAAAGTTTGCAATGCCACTTCGACACCTGCTTAACCAAGATTGCAACTGTCGAAAGTCTCAAATAAAGATGATGTCGACCCAACACAATACAAAAGACTTATTGAGTCATTAAGATACCTTTGTCACACAAGGTATCATCTAGCATACAACGTAGGTGTGGTGAGTAGATTCATGCAGAAACCAAGGGTATCACATCTAGCAGCGACAAAGAGGATACTAAGGCATCTCAAAAGAACTCTTAACTATGGAGTTCTATTTCTTGCAGCTGATGAAGGAAAAAATGCAAGCTGGTGGATTACACCGACTCAAGTTGGTGTAGTGGTGTTATGGATAGAAATCCACAGTTGGCTATGTGTTTTGGTTAGGTGGTGCACCAATTTCTTAGAACTTAAGAAAAGAACCAGTAGTGGCATTATCATCGTGTGAAGCAAAATACATAGTTGTTTCTCTATGTGTACGTCAATCAACATGGATGGTGAATTTGATCGAAGAGATTACAATAAAGGATTATGGAGTAATTATCACCAAGATCGACATTATTTCTGCTATAAATCTGGCAAAGAATCTGATAGTATATGGTAGAAGCAAACACATCGAGATGAGTTTCTATCATCTTCGAGAGCAAGTAGCAAAAGGGAAGCTGAACTTGAAAAACCGCAGAAATGAAAATCATATTGCAGACATCATGACGAAAGATGTGCAAGTCGGAGTGTTCAAGAGATTAAGAAAAATGATGAACGTAAATAACTTAGACACAATGAATTAGGTGGTGTGTTGAGAATCTAATTCTTTGTGTTAAAGAAAGTAATTATGACATAGTTAGTTGATGTTGAAATTGCTTTGTGTGTCGAAGTTATAAGCTGTCAAAATGTCGAAGGAGTTAGCCTCGACAAGAATTTTTGACTTAGCCTTATTTTGTTATTTTAGCTTAATCATGTTAGTTAGGCTTTGCTTAGTGATCAAGCAAAATCAACCTATAAATAAGGAGTAACCCTCATCATTGTAATACACTAATGCAGTTGCATAATTGAGAATAAAACTTTAGTTTAAGGTAGAGAGAAACTCTGCAAGAATATTATCTTCTTCTTTCTCTTTCGTTAAAACCCTAATTCTCTTTCTTCCCAATTCAATTTCTTTCTTCTCCATAATCATTGTTGCGCGAAATCATCCTGAAACAAAGATGTGGTTGATTCACTCAAATGAAGAGTGAAGAACAAGAGACGAAATTGATTGAGAGATTGATTCTTATTCATCAAGATTGATTCAAAATTCTCTAAGATTATGGTGTAATTCCAACAACTTCTTAGTCATAGAATCTTGTATGTCTTTGACTATGTCATGAACAAGGATTGTTTCAATGATCAAGCAATTGAGTGCTTGAAATATATAGTTCTTCATCTCAAAATCTTTAAACTTGCTCTCATCAATGAGTTTCATTGTTCAATGGTTACATTAACTCCAACAATGACAACTATTTTCAACAAAGGGCATGTTTGATGCGCAGGATATGAGACATGATAAGATATAAAGTAGGATAAGGATATGATATGATATAAACAGAATAAGACTTATCCTATCATATATTTGGTTCACACGAATCGCGCAGGATATGAGACATGATAAGATATAAAGTAGGATAAGGATATGATATGATATAAACAGAATAAGACTTATCCTATCAAATATTTGGTTCACACGAGATACCAAATATATATACTATATATATATATATATATATATATATATATATATATATATATATATATATATATAATATATATATATATATATACTATAATATATATATATATATATATATATATATATATATATATATATATATATATATATATATATATATTATATATATATATATATATATATATATATATATATATATAACAAAAAATCGTAAACCCTACTGAGTAAATAATTTCAATTTTTCTTAAAAAATATCATAAATTCTATTATATATATTAGATAACTAAAATAAAAGTATCTATATATAATATGTAAATATTGCAAGAAAATTTATTTAATTGATTAAAAAATTTGTATTCATAATTATAAGATTTTAATAATTATTTTATTTTTAAATATTCTAATTTATTAGGTTTTAATTTTTTTATATTATATAAAATTAAAAAGTTATCCTTATGACAATCATTAGATTTTTAAAAAAATTATTTATTCATATTTTTTAATTTAATATAAATTAATCTTTATTTATCTTTTATCATATTTAATTTTTATTTTTAAATTATATTTTATAAGCATAAATTTATAAATTATTTTTTTATCCTATTCTGTCGAATTTTAATCTAACTCATATTTAGGATAACAATTTAAATTATTGAGATAAAATATGATAAATTTAAAGCTTAACTTATCATATTCTATTATGTCATCCAACTGAATTGAAAAAGAATATTGAAATAGATATGATACAAATATCATATCATATCTTTTATCACGGATCCTAATATTTTTAGATTGAAGCAAATTTTCATCAAATTCAAAAACAAAAAAGTTACATGTAACTCTAATCATCCATGAGTAGTAAGAAAAAAACCAAAAGACGAATTCTTGACCAACATAATAAACTCTCAAATTAGTTGTAACTAACTCTCATAAAAAAAATTGTTCAACTCAAAAGAATCCGGGATGGACTTGATACCAATTGTTTGATGGAACTCACACCAATACTTATTCTTATCCATTGCAATGCCTAACAAGCACTTCTAATATTATTATCCATACCAACCAAAAATCACAATTTTTCATAAGCATTACATCAGTAAAAGAGAAAGTAACAGATGATACGGTAGTTAATTGCGTATCTCTAACCAGACAAAGTACTCAATAGATTCACATATATCAGATACTTATACTCCTATGAGATATGATAGTCAATTTTAGTAATGATTGTAATTTAATTGATTAAATCTGTTCCGGTAAATTCAAGCAATACCAGGTGGTAAAGTGATGTAGGAAATATAGGAACTACCACATACATAGTACCCAAACCACTGTAAATAAATATACATGTCACGGTAAATAGTAAAGTTTCAATGTACATAGATTACTACGTATACCAATTTCCATGTGTCATAAACATGAACATCCTCCGTCGCACGTGCCTCTTAATGTTTGCCACGTCAGATGATGATGATAGAATGAGTGGCTTCAAATCAGATGGTCCATCTAACCCAATAACAATAATAAAAATAAATAAAAGATAGAGAAACAAAGAACACATCTCATACATTAAAAAAAACAAACACCAAAACTAAAGCCCGCAGAACCAATCTCGCTTATCTCCGAAGAGTTTCTCTCTCTATCTCACTCTAACCTTTGAGTTCAGTTTACACTAAATCTATGGGAGAGGTTTTTCTTCAATAACTATAATTTTTTTTTTGTTCTCAAACTATTGCTTCTTGTTCTTGATTTGTTTGTTTGGTTATGAATATTGAATATGAATATGAATAGGAAGAAAAGAAACCACAAGAAACTAAAAGTGGAGGAGAAAAAGCCTGAAGAACCTAAGAAAGAAGAAGAGAAGAAAGAAGGTGAGAAGGCCACGGAGGAGAAAAAACCGGAGGAATCTAAGAACCGGTTCCACCGCCGGGAAATTGTGCTTAAAGTTTTCATGCATTAGCGATGGCTGTGCTCGTAAAGTTCGTCGTTCACCTCAAAGGATTTCCAGGTACTTTTCATGTTCTTTACTTTTTGTTTCGATGTTGGTTTTCAGGATTAGTTATTATTTATTAATTTATTGTTCATGATTTTCAGGTGTTGAAGATGGTTGTAACTGATTGCAATCTCACACGGTTGTTGTGAAAGGAGAAAAAGCGGATCCGTTGAAGGTTCTAGAAAGAGTGCAAAGGAAGAGTCATAGGCAAGTTGAGCTCTTTCTCCGATCCCGAAACCCGCCGTCAGAGGACGAGAAGAAATCGGAAGAGAAAGAGAACCTAAACCAGAGGAAGAGAAGAAAGAACAGGTTAATTAATTAATTAATTAATTATTTAATTTATTTAGATTTTTTATCCGAATCTGTGATGGATCCATTTGTAATTTTTGTGTTTGATAATGTTGCAGCCTCAAGTTATCACAGTGATTCTGAAGTTCACATGCATTGTGAAGCTTGTTCTCAGGAAATCAAAAGACGCATCGAGAGAATCAAAGGTTTGTTATTGGAATTGAATTAATTCAGTTTTTCAATTTTTTTGCAAGGTCCCATCTATTCAGGAATTTGTCAGAATCCTCTTTACAATTTGATTCTCTAATAAAAAAAGTTATTATAAAATATTTAACTTAATTAAATATTTAAAATGAAACTGCAATCTCATTATATTATAATTATTATTATCATGCAGGAGTGGAATCAGCAGAACCCGATCTGAAGAACTCACTGGTGACAGTAAAGGAGTATTTGAAAGTGAGAAGTTAGTTGAATATGTTTACAAGAGAACTGGAAAACAAGCGGTGATAGTGAAGCAAGAACCCGAGAAGAAAGAAGAAGGAAAAGAAACAAAGGAAGAAGAGAAAAAGACCGAGGAGAATGAAAAGAATGAGAAAGGAAGTGGTGAAGGAGAGGAAAAGAAAGAAGCTGCAGAGGAGATGGAAAACAAGGTGGCGGCGGCGGCGGTAATGGAGGTGGTGGTGGTGGTGGAGAAGAAACAACGGTGGTGGAAGTGAAGAAAAATGAATATTATTATAACCCACCAAGGTATGGTATGGAGTTTTATGCCTATCCTGGACCAGCCTACCCTCCACAGATTTTCAGTGATGAGAACCCCAATGCTTGTTCTATAATGTAAAAGTTACATCAATGGTAATGGTAAGGGTAATATTGGAATTATGGAAGATGCTAGAGTCTATGAGTGAATGTGGGTGATAGAAAACCATAACCTGGGTAAGATGTGCCCTATGTACTTTTCCCTGCAGTAGAAAAGTGTAATCTACAGATGAAAATGTAGAGTTTTGCAACTCTTTGTACTTTTTTAATTTAACCAAAATTAATTTTTATATATGAAAATATATATAAATAATTTAAGTGTTTTTTTCTTTATTTAGTTTTTTTTTTATATAAGTGGAGTTTCTCATTAAATGCCTCTTTCAGACTTTCAGTTTTAAATTTAATGAACACTTTGATTAAAGTATAGTACATATCAATTGATTTAAATCACTTTATTTTTTACATTTGTTTATATTAAAATAAATTTATATTTTAAAAAAAATTCTTATTTAATTTTCTTTTAATTTATTTCAGTCACCATGGTAAGTGTCTTAATTATTAAAAAAAGACTTTTTTCTTCAAAACATTATATGTCAAAGATTTATTAAAATAAAATTATATTAATATTTATTATAGAGATTAATTATTTTGCACGTTGAAAATAAGTTACGCTGGTTTACAGATTCCTATGGTCTAGTTTATATAAAGTTAGATCAGATTAGAGATTCCTATGGTCTAGTTTATATAAGGTTAGATCCGATCAGATTTATATAATAAAAAGGTTAAATTTAAATTTTTATAAAAAATTATTTAATTAAATAAATTAGATTTAAATTATTAAAAAAAATTATGAAATTTTATAAAGGATCTATATTTTCATGTATATTAAAAATATGTTAAATAGACCAGATATATAGAATTGATTTATATTGAGATACATTTATATAAAAGTGAGTTGAAAAATAAATTTCAGTATAAAATTTATCCAAAATCAATTTTGGAGATAGAAGGTATAAATTATAACTCGAAATAGAATTAATTTTGGAGGCAGAATCAATTTTACATTTGATTCTAAAATTAATTCTGGATCTTCTAAAAGTCAATTCAAACATATGTTTTAATTGAAAACCTTAATGAAAAATAGATTTTTAGGCCAGTCTAGACTTTTAAAAAGGCCAGATCATATCTAAAAAAAGAGCATATAATAAATTACAGATCAGACGCATACATTTCAATTTTATGATAGGTTAGACTCAGACCTTTTAAAGTTTAACCTAACTTAACCTATTTTCATCCCTACTATTAAAAGTTTTATATATTTAATTCATTACAATTATTTATAATAATTTCTATATAAAATTAAAATAAAAATCAAAGATTTGATATTTATGATTTACTGTAAAAATAAAATTAGAAATTTTTTCGATTAATAATAATAAAATTATTCAATTTTATTATAAATTGAAGGATTAAATATATTTTTTATTCTTATAAAATTATAAAATTTTATTTTTTATCTCTATAAAAAAATTATATATTTTGGTTTTTACAAAATTATTATATATGTGATTTTAGTCCTTCTTATTAAATCAATCTGTATTTTTAAATGATTATTTTACAAATATGTTTAGTACGTTATTCGGAAAAAAAATTAAAAGTCAAAATTTTCATTATTTTTATTATTATTTTTTAAATTTAAAAAATTTATATTTAATTATTCTCATTTTAAAAAATTCTAAAATCTAATAATTAAATATTTTATAATATTCTAAACATACATAAAAAAAAAATATTTAAAAATTTATAAAAAACAAAAACATATTTAATTCTAAATTTAATGACTATACAATAAAAGTAGAAAAGTGTTCGGTTAATATAAATATCCTATTTTACAATGATGTTCACTTATTTCGAACATCCAAATTAGAGAAATGCGGATTTTAATTTACGATCCGATTATATAAGAATGTTAACTTATTTCATACTTCAATTACAAAAATGCGAATTTTAATCTATAATATCACATTTTTTTGTTTTTATTAGATAAAAATTAATATTTAATAAAAATTGTTTAATTAATTATAAATTATATTTTTGACTTTTGATTTTACCTTACTTACAAAAATAATCTTCATATTTTAAATTCAAACAAATTAATTTTTATATATATTTTTATATTTACAATTGATTATTTATTTACTTTTAGATGATGTATTATTTGTAAAACAAGAAAATTATGGTATAAAAATTTTTGTGAACCAAAATATAAAAATTATTAATTATTAAAGAATTGAGACATCATTAATTTTTAAATATAAAGAGATAAAAATATAAAAAAGAAAATTACGTGAACTTTTAAAGATAAAAATAAAAAGTATATATTATAAACGAGTAGAACCTTAATAATTTTAAGTGCAAAAACTTTAAAGGTGGCTCAAAACTGTTTGAAGGTAAAATATAACAATATTTTGAATGAAACAAATTAGAAAATCTAAATGGTAATTTAGTCCTAATTTTAATTTTAATTTTAATTTTAATATATATATATATATATATATATATATATATATATATATATATATATATATATATATATATATATATATATATATATATATATATATATATATATATATATATATATATATATATATATATATATATATATATATATATATATATATATATATATATATATATATATATATATATATATATATATATTTCTTATTTAATGTTAAAGGAAAGTTATTTTATATTATTTCCTTCATCTGTTTTAAAATAAATGTCATTTTAATAAATAAATTTTATTTTAAAATAAATATTACTTTTATTTCTCAATAATGAAATGATTATTTATTTTTAATATATTTATAGAGTTAATTTAATAAAAATGTAAGGTCTTATAATAATATTGTTATAGTTATTAATTTGTGTTAATAGATGGAGTATTTCGATTTTCTCATTTATTATTAAAAACAATGGTAAAATAATGTGGAATTTATTTTTATTCAATATTGCTAGAGCATTTATTAACATTTTTAAAATTTCAATGTTCCATTCGTTGTTATCTTGACCCTTTTAAGGAAAAAAACATTTTACATTTTTAATTTCCATATTGTCCGTAACTTTCTTGGGAGAAGTTCTGTTTGCATACTGTTTCTACAAGTGGGATATTATATGCATTTATAGCTGACACCTAACAGACGTTTATGGCTTTGGTTCGTGTGAGAAAAGGAAAAAAAGAAAAACTTAGCTGAAATATATGACTGTTTTAGGGACATTTTAAACGAAAAGTATTCTTCTTTTAAAACAATAAAACAAAAACTAAAAAATTTAGAACTTGTGTATGTACCTTTAGATTTTTTTTTTAAATAATCACTTTTTAAATTTTTTTTTATGTAATTACTTTTTCAAAAAAATATCAAAGTAATTAATTTTTAAATAAAAACATGTGACACATGCATATAAATTAGAGAAAAGGTGTTACACTGCATGACTTGTCTCTCTATGTAGTATCATGTAGTATGTGGCATGCATGCAATTTTAAGAAGGATGCGTCATATTAGATGTCTTGACAATTGTATTTGATTTTCTATAAATGCATTCATCAATGTTCACCATTTTTCACACTGTTTCTCACATCACTTTTAGAAAATGTCTTCCACTCCCTTACTAACGTTTTTCACTCCATTGCCAAGGTTTTCACTGATCAAAATAGATGCTCATATTATTTTTTCAACGACAAAGCCTCCGATGAAGATCAAACTCTAGAACATGCAGACGTTCGAGTATTTTCAGAGGCACTTGATTCGCTGGTTGGAAAGAGACATTCCTGAAGGTGAACATATTAGAAAAATAGAAAGGCAAATTACAGTAAGGAACGAAAAAGGAGTAAGTCGTTCATGAAAAAAAGTGAGATGTGACGTTGATGTCCTGATGATGATGCTTGGACCAGACGATATTGTGTTGATAGTTTTTATCTCTTAGATATTATGATGTGTTTAGTTGTTTTGTCTGTTTATCATTTTGTTGTGTTTTGCGTAGTTGTCCCGAGTTTTCCGTGTTATAATCTTTCGGGCCATTGTCTGAAGGTTATTGTAATTGAATGTTAACTTGAACACGAAATGAAAACCCGATTTTAAATTGAAATTTCTTGCTTACAACAAATTAATTACTCCAGAAAATTTGCTATAAAAAAATTAGGTTGCAGAGCTAGACCCAATATTCGGACAATGTTTTTGATTGTATCCGGGAAGACGACATGTACTGTATAATCTTATCATTTTGTTGACCGTATCCATTTCAGTTCTAATACGAGTGCTATTAGGGCGCCCATTTTTCTTCCTTCGCATTTGTTCATTGTGCCAAACAATGTCCCCTTGATAAGCAGGCCAATAATCCCCCTTTTCTGACACGTTGAAGGTATTGATGTACACACTTGAAACGCTCTTGATTGGGTCTAAGCGAACATGCCACAATGACATGAGAGAAAGGCATGTGAAATGCTTGAAACTTTCCGCAATCACACCAACTTGTATGATCCATTGTCTCCCCTTATTATGATCCATTGTTTCTTGTACACTGAACCAACCTTTAATACGGTCAAACACGGTGACACTATGAGTGTTAGATTTTGGCAGTCTCCTCGTTAAATGATTTCATTGTACATTCACTGGACAACTGCCCTCCATTTTAAACTTCTTGTATCGAACAATGACCCCAACCTAAAATATGTTGCTCTAACCAATGCAGTAATTGGTAGGTTTCAGATGCCTTTAAAGACATAGTTCAATGATTCCACCAAATTTGTTGTCATGTGGCCCCATTGTCGACCATTGTCAAATGCCCGAGTCCACTTCTCCATTGGAATGTTATTGATCCACCTTAACGCTTCTGAGTTTGTCAACCAAATGTCTTCGTGATAATGTTGGAATGATGGTTATGTTAAAACATACCCTGCATTAATAACTTTCTCTCAAAGTGTCTTGTCTTTGATATAGAGCATGAAGTTTTGTGTGATATGTCTAATGCAATAGACATGTGTTGAAGGGGGATCCCGCCAACCGTTATCAGGGCTAT